TATAGGGAAACACGAGGGTTTTTGAATTGTTTAGGAAACTAAACTATAATATGAAATTTCAAGGCTTCTTATGACATTGAAAGAGGCTTATGAGTAATATTGTTCATGATTGTCAACAATATTTGAATCATGTGGATAGGGCTAGATTGCTAGGTCCAATTCAATGGAGGTCTTTTCACTTAAGAAAAGCCACGTGCTTAGTTCATAAGATTCAGCACTTTGCAAAATAATTTCGATCACTTTAAAAAATTCACAAAATTGTGATACTTCAGATTAAACGTAGGACTAATAAACTAGAACATACTTAAATCTATATACTATTTGAGTAACATGTATGTTTGTGTGGTTTTTACGTGCTTCATAGCATATCGAGAAACAACTGCAGCAAGTCGACAATGGTGCTGCAACGGCGACGGTGGTCCAACAGTGGCGACGACTGGTCAAAGGGGGCCCATCGGTGATGGAGCTCACGAACCACTTAAGAGCTTGGAGCTCCTTCAAATTTCCCCTCCCGATCTCGATTGCCTTTCAAGAAGAGAGTGAGAGTTTATTTATAGATTTTGTGAATGATATGCTTCATGAATATTACATGAATTCAGACCACTTCATCAAAAGACCTAGAGTTATTCTTTTGATTAAATGATATTTTATGAGTATTTAAGTGCCTTAATGATGTATGAATTAAGTGATATTGAGCTTGTTGGATTTGTCTCATTGAAACACTCGATTTGATTAGAAACTTTTTAGATTTGGAGTTCATTTAATCATTCAACTGAAGATCCAAAACTTCTATTTGTGCTTAAATTATTTATTCTGGTATGATTAGACCCATATTCAAACGAATCAGAGCTTGAATGATCATAAATTTGTATTTGAAGTTATGTCTCACTCAAAATTCTTTGAGATTCGTGCAATACATAATAAGATATAAATCATAGATCACCTCGAGAGGTTTCCTATCATAATAGAAAGTTCTGGCTCATTTTTTGAAAGAATTTTAATGAATATAATCCACCATTTAAAGCAACAATGAAGGTAATGTCATTATCAAGCAAACAAAGTCTATACTAATTGAAGAAAACATAACATCCCCAAAATTTGTGCAATCATTGAACTACAAACCATCAATTAAAGCTCGATCATTCGAATTTTAACTTCCTTCTCAATTCATAAATACATATAATAAGCTCAATAATTAAAAATGTATGCTCACAAGCACATATAAAGATCTTCTTTGATATTTCAGAAGCTAGCTCAAACTTTTGGAAAGCTATATGCCAAATAGATTAAAACTCAGAGCCCCAAACCTAATTCAATTTGCTAAGCTGCAACTTATAAATAGTGAAGTATGAGAGCAGCATTATATATTTATGCATTATCTCTCATTCATGTATTGTTATTCTTCTTTAATCTCTAATGCTGACTCCTCCACAAAGAGTAGCTAGATGATAATATATTTTATGAAAGCTGCATGCTACATTCAACCAAAATTGCTCCAACATTTAATGCATTATAGTATGTAGATGTCTCATTCATGATAATGGCTTGTATCATTATTACTTGGCACAATATTCAAATTATGAACATGCATGCCATGCACTGTCCAACTACAGATATAGTCGCTTGATTTAGTACATGTGCACGATGTGATGATATCTACATGGTATCATCTTCGCCGTCGTCTTCGCTGCATCCTGCCTCCTCCTCTTCTCTTCCATCATGATCCACAGCGACATTTAGTGGCGAAATCTAACCGGAGGTCTACGGGAAGGAAGATTTCCGATGACGAACTCCAGCCGATTCACTTGCATCGAAACAGTACATTAGCTTTAAAAAGTTGAACGTCAAGACAACATGTTTTAAAAAGCTCAATTTAAACGAACTTTTAAAAAAGAAAGCAGAGGCAAACAGAACTTTAGTAAGAGATGCTACTAAACAAGAACTATGTGTGTGTTTTTTCCTAATTATGAAATTTTATAATAGAAACTAAAGTCCCATAGATAAATATATTAGATTTGGGAGAGGGAGATTGAGATAAAGATAGATAGAAAGAGAGTGAGAGAGAGAAGAACAAAAATAATGAACATCAATACATCTGTCTTCTTATAAAATGATTTTCTATTTGTAAAGGAGATAATACAATGATAATATTATATTCTTAACAACATTTAGAAAGTGTCAGCGCTACAAATGTGGCCTTATCGTTTGGTTGTCTTCTGGCTCAGCCGACTAAATTTAGTTGACTCAGGTCAACGGGATCAGCTCGACCGACTGAGCTTAATCAGTGTAGCTTAGTCATACCTAGTTGATTATCTTCGATTCCTAATGAGGAGTCATTGGGGTCCCCTTCGATTGTTATCGTTTGGTTGTCTTCTGGCTCAGCCGACTAAACTTAGTTGACTCAGGTCAACGGGATCAGCTCGGCTGACTGAGCTTAATCATTGTAGCTTAGTCATACCTGGTCGATTATCTTCGATTCCTAATGAGGAGTCGTTGGGGTCCCCTTCGATTATCCCCTTCGATTGATCAAATATATTTTGTTGAATTCGATCATCCTTGGGATTCGCTCTCCTGAGGCATAGGTTATCACGTCAAGTTGGTTTTTCTGCAATGGATGACTTTGACACTCTTTTATCTCATTTTCAGTCGGGTGGCTCGTGTTAGGATCACCGGTCATTCTCTTGTCTGTCTCGTGGATCGGTCGGTTTCAACCTAGTTGGTTTGGCTCATGTGTCTTTGCTCATTTAGCCAGATGGGCACATGATCTTCTACATTGTGCACGCCTCCACCCTACACACTTATAAACACTTAAATCACTTTAAGCCTTTATGATGAGCAAATCCATAAAATTACCAAAAAAGTAAAGGAAAAAAAAAACAATTCTTACTATTTACATATTTTACGCCCATGCTTCATATTTACATCGATAACATATTGATGCTTTAAACATAAAAATATGGATTTTATTTTTTCTAAAAGTTCTAATAATATTATAATTGACGTGACATTAAAGATTTGTGTGTAAATATTAAGGCTTTGGATATGAGATATGCAACCAAACAAAAACTTCCTGCGAAAAAAAAAAAAGCTTTTTTTTTCTTTTCTTAATTATGAAATTTTACAATAAAAACTAGTGTCCCATATAAATACATAAGAAGTCAGGCATATAAACACAAAAAAACCTCTATTTTTTTTTTTCTTAACAATTAAACCCCTACCAACTTCCTCTCAGCTATAAAGACAAAGCCAGCTACCTCCTCCAGAGCTGATCAAACCAACCACCGGTGTCCGCCATGGGAGAAGCTTCCCCTCTCCTCCACTTTCTCTTCGTCTCCTTCCCCGGCCAAGGCCACCTCAACCCCCTCCTCCGCCTAGCCAAGCGCATCGCCTCCAAAGGTCCCCTCGTCACCTTCTCCACCACTCTCGAGCTCGGCCACCGCATCTCCCCCTCCGCCGCCGCCGCCTCCCCAGGCGAATCCGACTTAATCCCCGTCGGCCGCGGCCTCCTCCGCTTCGAATTCTTCGACGACGGCTCCGACCCCACCGACCCCCGCCGATACGACCTCAGCATCCTGAGGCCCCCCGGCCCTCTCCCTCCTCATTCACCGCCAAACCCTAGCCGGCCGACCCATCTCCTGCCTCATCAACAACCCCTTTCTTCCATGGGCTCTCGACGTCGCCGAACATTTCGGAATCCCGGCCGCCGTTTTATGGGTCCAGTCCTGCGCCGTCTTCTCCACCTACTACCATTACCACCACAAACCCTCGGATTTCCCGTCGGAAGGAAACCCTGATGTCACGGTGAGTCTACCGGGCCTCCCGCCCATGCGGCCCGACGACCTGCCCACATTTCTCCTCCCTTCGAACCCATATAAGCCTCTTAAAAATGTGATTTTGGGCCAGTTCAAGAACATCTCGAAGGCCCGATGGGTTTTCGCCAACTCCTTCGAGGCGTTGGAGAGCGATGCTTTCAAGGCTATTGAGGGGATATCGCCGGTGATACCTGTGGGGCCGCTGGTTGAGTCTGGTGAGCCGCAGGAGGAGATTAAGGCCGATTTGTGGAAGGCAGCGGATGGCTGTATTGGGTGGCTTGATAGGCAGGAGAAGAGATCTGTCGTGTATGTATCGATGGGGAGCATAGTTATGTTGAGTTCGGATGAGATGCATGAGCTCGCTTTTGGGCTTAAGAACTCCGGCTGGCCTTTTCTTTGGGTGGTAATTTCTTATTCACTTTTTATTTATTATTATTATTTTAAAAAACATTATTTTTATTTAAAAAAATATTATCAAGAATTAATCACTTCATTTTCTTGAATTTTGATGTGTTTTTATTTTATTTTATTTTATTCGGTATGATATGTTTTTTATATTTTTAATTATATATATAATAAAAAAAAACATTGTGTTCATGTTGTGGCGTTGAAGGGCCCGTTTGAGGCAGCTTATAAAAACACCGTCAGACCATTTGGTTTGCGCGTTTCGCCAGTTTATTCGAAACCGCGTTTTGATTTTTACACTAAACGCAGGTCGCGTGCCGCGTTTCAGGATAAACAACTTATCATGAAACGCACAAGCTCGTTCATATTGTCCCGTGATGCTATACTTGCTTAAAATTAAATAAAATGAGAAATATAGATTTAGTAAGCACGTCACGGTCTTTTATTTATGAAAATGAGGGAAAAAAATTGCGTACATAAGACCTACACAGAGATGCGTACGTCTGTAACTTGCAAACATGTTACAGGAATTTTGGGAGGTTATAACCGCATTATATCCTTTGTAACCTCCTTGTAACCTACATGTATATGAAAACAGAAGCGCAAAACTTACTAGAAGATACAAGTAGGTTACAGGGAGGTTACAAGGGGTAAACACGGTTATAACCTCTCAAAATCCTCCTTGCAAAATTTACAGGCGTACGCATATCTGCGAACGTCTTATGTACGCAATTTTTTTTGCGAAAATGAGAGGCACCTTCTCTTTTATTGAAAAAATAAATGTTCAAAATTCATTGATTTCTCTTGTTGCATCGATAATATAATAAATATAAAAATTATTTTAATATAATTTAAAAAACAAAAATAATGATCATTATTTTCAATGCAATAAGTAATATTTTAATTTAAGCTAATATTTTAAAATTTTTTGAAAAATATTTAAAATAAATAATTAAATAGAAGCATTTTTTTTATTTTTTTAATTGAAATATCTTATTTTTGCTCATCCCATTAAAATCAACAATTAAAATTAAACAATATTTGAAACGACCTGTTTCAAAAATTCGATCGGCTCGTAGATTAAGGGTTCTGGCTGGTTCAATTCTAATTCTGTATATACATAAATAATTCTGAGCTTAGACTGAATTGCCTGAATGATATACATAAATAATTTTGAGTTTAGACTGAATTGACAATAATCGGTCAATCATTGAACTGGTCAGTCCTATTCCATTTTTTCAACCACGGTATTTATTTACCCATATAGTTTATTGTTGTGGCGTGTTTACATACGTAATAAACATGTCACTTCCATTCATACATATAACATCTAAATTTTCATATTTATATTCATAATACTCAAATATTGAATTATTTAACATCAAGTTAATAATTGACTTATAAAATTAACATTAAAATTATATATACATATAGTCCGGGCACGAGTCTAATAAATCAACGATAGCTTAGATTTGATATAACATAGATATGATTATTATTTAATATTTATTCATGATCTAAATACAGTGCTTGCTACCTAACTCATTTAAAACTTAAAAGCCCTATTATCAAAAGCAATGCATGCAGCACGCGCGCGCGCACTATATCCATTAGTTACATAATGTATTCTATTATATATTTCACAAATATATATTTTAATCACCCTAATATTTTTATATTCTATACTGTAAGAAAATCGATTTTCCACCCATAAATTAGTATTTTATTGTATATAATTATGTATTTACGTATCCAACATCCTAAAATTTGATATTTACACTCAGAATCATAAAAAATATGACAGCAGAATTTATCATTTTCTCATCGAGTAATCATAGGTATTATTTTATTTTAATTTTGTTTATCGAGCTTCATAACTATTAAGAAGACTTAGATGGAATATTAAATAATGTATTTTGGACTTAATTATAACATATGTTAACATTAATATTATTAATATTATTAATATATATATATAGTAAATATAATAAAAACTTTTTAATTTGCTCTTTCGCTCATTGTAGGTAAGGGAGAACCTTCGAGAATTACTTCCCGAGGGTTTCGAGGAAGAGATAGAAAGAGAAGGGAGGAGTCTACTGGTGGAGTGGAGCCCACAGGAGAAGGTCCTGGCCCACCAAGCTCTGGCCTGCTTCGTCACGCACTGCGGCTGGAACTCAACCCTAGAACTCATCGCCGCCGGTATCCCGGCCGTCGCCTTCCCTCAATGGGGAGATCAAGTTCCCGACGCTAAATTTCTCTGCGACGTCCACCGCATCGGCGTACCCCTCCCCCTTCCGGCCGCTCGCGCTGAGATCGTTCGTTCTCTCGCCGCCGCTATCGACGGCCCGGCCGCCGATGCGATGCGGAAGCGCGCTCAGGAGTGGAAGGAGGTTGCTCGACTCGCCATCGCTTCCGGCGGATCATCGGACCGTAACATTGAAAGGTTTGTTGATGATGTGAGGAAATGGGTGGCGAGCGGCGGCGGTACAGTTGTCGATCCGGTCGTCGCAGCTTGTCCGGCCATTCAGGGTTCGTGCGTCGTGGCTACGTAAACATATCAATTAAGTCGGTAATGGTTCGTTTTTAATTTATGAGAATAATTGTTGCGACGAAAACAGTTGTTGATGGATCTAATTCGGCAATTGAATCAGCTTAATTCTTCCGAAACTTGAGGAGTTAAGATAATAAAAAGATGAAACAAATAATGAAGTTCACTTTTCACGATAGTACAAAAATCATTAGGAATCCGTGTCCTTAATATAGTTCAAAATCCATTCTCACTTTAGTTTAATTAATGTAATCTCCTGATCTTAGTTTAGTTTCCACACTGCAACAATTGGTTCTGCTATGTAAAATGAAACAATTACTTCAACACAGAAAGTTGAGCATCACTACAAGGAGGCAGAGATAAGCGTTCAGTGCTACATTTGAGAGTTGTCCGCTTGCCTTGGGCTCAGAACCTGGAGTCTGTGCCTGAGCAGGATTTGCTTGATTAACAACATCGGGAAGAGGTGGGTCGACCACATCTGAGGGTTCGAGAGGCGGTGCTGGTGATTGAGCTGGAGGCAGTGTCTCTGGCAAAGCCAGCGATTTGATGCCACCGGCCGCCACCGGTAAGATTGTGTAGGGACGACTAGTAGGGAAGCCTAGCGGTGAGGTTTGAGCATGGGGTCCCTGTAGAATCCATTTCAGAAATGGAGTTTAATTGCAAAGTTTCAGATTTAACAAACCCAGGAGGTCTGTGATCCTAAAAGCTGATTTGAATGATAAATATCACCTAAATCGGGAAATTTCACATACATATTAGCACACAATTCTTATTGTGATGTGGTAATGGTGAGTACTTACTTAAGTAGGCTCTTGCTGTTGCAGGATATTCAGTAATTAGACCATTCACGCCAATTCCACCAACAAAAGTAGCAATTTCAACAACTGGATCTGAGAAGAAATCGTAAGCTATCGTTGTAAATTCATTTCTGAGCACCGAAACATAAACAGATATATTCGATCTCTGCATCTCAGCTGTAACATTAGTGAAATAGGAGATCAAAGCACCATCATAAGCCATTATGGATGATCTTATAACATTAACTGCAGTAGCAAACTTCTTTATCTCATCCACAGCAGGCTTTGGTGCATCACCAACTTGCTCTGGAATCAAGAGAATGCGTTCATAGCGAGTGTTAATCTTCTTAAATTCTGTAAGAACTGATGAATCATCAGATTGGATTAGAACTCTTTTAGTTCTGTCTTCGTCGTAGCTTGCATTAGCCAATGCAGTCGAAACAACATCGACCATACTGACACCCTTCTTTGATGCTAGGTAGGGAGCATTCTATATATGATAAGAGTAACAATTAGAATAATTATAGTAGATAATTTGTGTGAAAATGGTTTATGATTTGATACCTGAATATTGATTAAAACACCTGGAACAGTACTGTTTTTGGCAAAGGATAGGAATTCAGCCAATTTCAGAATTTTGCCCATGTTTTTGGCAACAGGATTTCTTACCAACCCAACTGAGGAGTAGGGGCTTACTAAATTAGCTGGAAAAGGAAATAAACATTTTATGCCATTAAAATCTCTTCATTTATTATAGTTTTTCGACATCTTGATCAACTTTCACATACAAAAAAAAAGAGGCATTTACATACATAACGCACAAATTCTATGTATTTATACATCTAACACCTATACATTCATATTTAAATATATATCACTAAAATTTTTCATATCACATCAAAAATATCTCCATCACTATCTTTCTAAAAGTAAAATGCACCTTTTCAGTCGTAGGTTTATGACACTAAGGTGTTATAACCTATAAGCATAAATATCAAACTCTAGGTGTCAAATATGTAAGTGCATAAGAATTTTGTGATATGTTTGTAAATTTTGCAAAAAAATAACAAAGTAGAAGTCATTACGTTTTAAGCTTTGGATCTCAGACCATGTGAGGTCAAATGTGAAGATTCCACTGTTGTTTTGGATCTCTGGTATTGTTGTAGACTTTGACATGAATTTAGGCATTGCTGTTGTGCTTCCTGAAAGATCTGCTGAGTCCAAGCAGAATGAAATTCCATCTTTTGACAACTGAACAGAACAATCAATAATATCTGCGCCATCTTCTACTGCTTGTTTATAGGCAAGATCAGTGCTTCCAGGATAGATCCCACTTGCACCATTGTGAGTTATAACCAATGGCTGAGCTGTGTACAATATGCAATTGCATTTGAATTTCTTGTCAGGTTTCAAGCATATATAGTAAGATGCTATTATGAACAAGATATGTCATTTTTAAACTGACCTTCACTAGAGAGAGCTTTGTTCTGGTTATTTGCAAAACAAGCTGCATGTACATTACAAACAACAATCATAGTCTTATATTGCACTCATAGAAAAATATCTTAAATTCTAAATACATCTAGAGTGTTGGGAGTTAGAAAGGACTTCAACTTATACATTTAACATAAATGAAAAGAATTGATATTAGAAAAGAAGAATAATACACAAAAATATAAAATACATCTAGAGTGTTGGGAGTTAGAAAGGACTTTAACTTGTACATTTATCATAATAAAAAGAATTGAAATTAGAAAAGAAGATTAATACACAAAAATATATTAAAAAAAATTATAATAGTTCATCCAAGACAATTTCTCTTAAACCTATAAATACATTGAAATTCCCAAAAAATCCTTAATAAAATAACATCTAAATATCATATGCTTTTTAGAAGTCCATGACTAATTATGAGCAGCAATTTTTCTTCATAAGATTAAAATTAAGACAATAAAACATAAAAAAGGAGCCAGAAAAAAGGGAGGGGGTGGTGGCTTGAGAGCAACAAATGGTTACCAATAGCCTCTGATGCAGTGTAAGGGAAGTCAGTGAGGACACCATCAACGGAGAAATCTGAATTATCAATAAACTGAAGATACTCTTGAATTGGATCATAGCTATTATTGTAGCTTCCAGGCACATCATTAGCAAATCCTGAAGCGTAAACTTCCAATCCTAGGCCATGTGCATCTTCTACAATATCAGTAGCTGGAGCTAAATATCCATTATCATCAACAGGCCATATGTATTCCTTCTGCACCAAAATCCCTGATGCAAATGTCTTGATATACTCTAAATCCTCAAGAAGGTTTCCGTACGTCTTGTTTGTCATCGGCTCAATCGAACCGATGTCCAGGAACTTGAATACGAGCTTTGGTTTCTTTCTCATGGCGCTCACATCAACATTCTTCAGGAAGTCTATTTCTGGTGATGAGATGAAATTGTAGTGTATACGTTGTGAGGTTAACTTGATGAAGTCTAGTACATCTAATTTATGTTCTTTGTAGAATGAACTGTACTGCAAGAGAAGACAAAGTGGGGGCAGGGGGAAATTTTTTTAATTTATATTTATTGAATGAAATTGAAATTTATATTATTAAACTGTTAGATAGATATATACCTGTACATTCAACCATAGTTGAGCAGGTTTGTGCCCTTGGACATCATCAATGGTTAAGATAGGCATGACACCATCAAATATACTAGGCCTTGAATATATGTTCTGAATCACTTTAAGAGAACAAATGAATGGAAAATTATGAGGGCTTCAGACAATACTCATCATTCAAACACTCAAAAGGGGTTGTTTGGTTTCATGTTATTAAATATATTAAAGTTGGATTTATAAGTTATTGAATTTAACCAGTCATAAAATTGAAATATGATTTATCAAAACCGGACATCATTCAAAGATTCTAATTCGTGTTTGACAAAATTTAAGTTAAATCTCACTTAAGAGTCTGTTTGGGGTGGTTCCAGTTTTTTTAAAAAATGATTGTAAAGTTGTGACAAATAAAATAAGTATTTAGAAAATTGTCGTGATAATTATAAATATATTTATTTTTTTTTCAAAAAGTCAGACAATAATTTTCTTACAGTCATCGCACAATAACAATTCAGGTTCAAAAAAGTGACTTTACATCACAAAAAATTATAGAAAATAGTAATAAAACAGCCCCCCAAACAAAACTGTGGTGACGGTCTGAAACGCAAATCAGACAAAAACTGTCCCATTAGTGAAACTCTTCGTGAATTAGGATGCCAAACAACTCCTTAAAATTATTGAAAATTTAAGAAAAAAATTACTATTTCCCGTGATGCTTACATGCCACATTAGTGAATAACTCTTCTGCTGTAAAATCTACAGAGAACCATCCCCTAACAGCCTGCCCATTCACTCTGTAAGTATTTCCTCTCTTTGGGAAAATAGTTGCAATATTAGTAGAATTATCAAGTCTCAAATCTGACTTGCATATTCCAATGCTGTCTTTTGTTAATTGAAGATCACAGAGCACCACAACATTGTGAAGGCTGCTCGCTGATTTTGCTGAGTCATAAGCATAGGAGCTTGATTCTGGAAAAATGCCTGAGAATCCTCCTCTAGCCACCACTAATGGAGGAGATCCTGTATTTTTTTTTTTTTTTGAAATATTTTTAAAAATAATAATAAATAAATTTGTTAGAGAGAGAGAGAGTGTGTGTGTGTAGATTCAACATTGATCATTATACATAGAATTGCTTTCTTTTCAAGTGTGATATACATATAACATAATACACGGAATTGCATATCTAAATTTTATATTTACATTTATAAAACTTTGGCCATTTATGTAACAATCCAAACTCTCACCCATCCGCTTTGGCCTAATGGTCAATTCTTGTACCGAAAGGTACCTCGATGTTTAAGAGTTTAGTTTCATTCTACTTAAAAGGGCTTGACAACATAACCAATGCATAAAAATGTTAATAATAGTGATTTTGTTTTTTGTAATATTAAAGATATGGGTGTTATGCATGTAAATATGAAATTTAGATCCTGCATGTATAAATACATGAAGATTTTGTGGTATTTATGTAAATGCCTTTATATAAATGGACAAGCATCTATTGTCATGACATAGAGATAAAATAACACTTAACCAAACATAATGTTTGACAAGACATAGAGATAAAATAACACTTAACCAAACATAATATTTGACAAATAATGCTAACATCTCAGTATTATCAAAACCAATTAACTTATTTATAAATGATGCCGTAAAATATCATTAAAATGAGTAAGAAAAAAACCTATTATTTCATGCTCTAACATCAAATATTAAACAAATTAATCAAGAAAAATTAACATTAAATATTAAACAAATTAGTCCAGAAAAATTAAAAAAAAAAATAGAAATTGCATGAGATGTATAAGAAAAATCAAAATAGAAAAAATAGAAAATTTCATCATACCATTCAAGGTTTGCCATTTTGAAGGTGGAGGCTGAGCAGAGATTCCATGAATTATGAAGAGAAGAAGAAAGAGATAAGCCACCATTTCTGAATATTAGATTGGTAAATTCCTGCAATAATAAAACTTAAGAAATTACAAATGGAATATTAGATTGGTAAATTTACAATATTTTGAAAAGTAGGGAGGAAGATGAAATAAACTAACCTGAAGAACAGAGGAATGAAATCGCTTCTATGCAAATGCAGTGCTGCACGGAGATCAAAAGAGAGGGGCGAGAAGGTGATGGAGATTTTTTTTTCTTTTTTTAAGAAATTAAAATGGCAAATAAAAGGAGTTTGAGGGAATGTTTAATGATATTTAATGGCTTTTTGGTATTTATTTTTATTTTCGGTTACTTTTTTTTGGTTGCTTTTTTTTTTTTTTTTTAATTTCTCAAGGGTAACGGTCGGGAGCGATTTCCTCTCAACCTTTCTTAATTACCCTAAATTTGTTACTGTTTAGACAAAAATAGACCGTTAATCATATCACTTTTACCAAAATTTGTTATTATTATCATTATTATTATTATTTCATTTACTTTTCAAATTTGATGCGCAAAAAAAAGTCTCATTTTTTTTATGCGTATTAGATTTTATCTACATTATGGGCCCGTTTGGGGCAACTTATTTGGTGCGGTGGCGTTTTGAAAACGCAATAGACCTGTTTGGGTAAACTGCTTTTTGGCAGTTTGTGAGTTTTGAAAACTCTAAAAACAGTGATTTCACACCGCACCTATCTAGATGCGATGACAGCTTTGGCTTTTTCAAAAAGATTATTATCATTATTATTATTATTTCATTTACTTTTAAAATTTTATGCGCAAAAAAAAAGTCTCATTTTTTTTTTGCATATTAGATTTTATCTACATTATGAGCCCGTTTGGGGCAACTTATTTGGTGCGGTAGCGTTTTGAAAACGCACCAGAACTATTTGGGTAAACTGCATTTTGGCAGTTTGTGCGTTTTGAAAACGCTCAAAATAATGATTTCACGCCGCACCTATCTACAGCTATGGCTTTTTCAAAAAGATAAAAATTTATAATAGCCACAACACCTAGCTTATCAGCAGATTATTTTTAATCAGCTTATCAATAGATTATTCAATAAGCTATCGCTGCCCCAAACAGACTTATTTATATTTATATATATATATAGTCTAGAAATATTTTTTGAGATTACATAAATAGCACTTAAAATTTTGCTATTTACAAAATTAGCTCTCGAGTTATTTTTTTAAACTACGCAATTGGTTTATGAGCGTCATAATAAATTTATTGAGAAATTGGTGAAAAAAATAAAAGTTTGGATTGAGATTTTATTTCGATTTTTTATATTTGAGTGATAATTTGAAAATCGTATAAAAGGGGTGCTTGTTTTGTAAATAGTAGAATTTCTAGTGCCATGGAGGAAATTGCCCCAAAATTTTATTGTATTACAAAAATTTAATCTATAATCATACAATAAATGTCAATCAATGAGGTAAAATAGATATGATATGAATAAGAAATAACTTAGAGATTATTCATATTAAATGATAATAGGAATTCAAATGAACTTTTAATGGCATGACATCAAGCAAAAAATGTAAAAAAAAAATAAAAATAAAAAGAATAATGTCAGGATTACCAATATAGCAATGAGAGAATGTAAAGAGTCAATTATGATGTAATGACAAATTACAAGCAGGGAATATATCGATAATACCAAGGAATATGTGAATATTAAGGTCGTTCACTATTGAAATAAATGGGGTTTAATTTGTGCATCAGATAATAAGATAAATTAATCAAATACATAAAGTTGCAAGAATATCCAAATGTTAGATGTAATTTTATATAAGGAAAGGTTTGGATAGTACAATGTAAACTTTCTAGTATATAAACTATCTCAAAAAATATAGCATAACTAACACATGTAGAATATATATAGATATATATATATATATAACTGCGTGATTTCTCTAAACAATATAGTATATTACACATCTACCTCTACAAAATAAAAACTGAACATTTCAGCCCACTGGAAGCTTAAATCTGCTTGCATTTGTTTACTGGGTGAACTCCGGCCGGTGCGAGGTTAAGATCAGAAATATATGCTCATAAGGTATCTTGTCGGATTGAAGCCAATCAGGGTCACTACATCAACAAATCATAAATACATTGTTGTTAGGACTCATTTGGGAAAAAATAAGTTTTGTCGAAAACTTTTGTGGATATTATAAATGAAATTTATTTTTTAAGAAAATAAAAGCTTTCTACCAATAAAATAAAAAAAAAAAAAAAAAAAAAAAGAGTAGCCAAACAAAAATAAGAATTGTAAATAAAATTAATGGAAAAAACTATCCACGACAAACCCTTGATAAGAAAAAAAATTGGCATTTACATACATACCACCCAATTCTTATGTATTAATATATCAACCAACTGAACTTCAGATTTTACATATAGACCACCGGATTCCTATGTTTTCAGCATAGGTTGGATGGTCCTTAGAAAAAAAATTAAAGTTTAAATGGTTGATATATTAATACATAGGAATTGGGAGGGTTGGGATGTCAATCTTCTAAAAATAATAAAAAAAAAACTTACAGAGAGGGGATAGAATGATGACAAGACCAATTGGATACAAGAAGAAAGTTGTTCTTTCCAAAAAAGGTAGTACTGCATGATAAGCTCAACATAAGTCAAAGTATAGAGTGAGAGAGAGAGAGAGAGAGAGAGAGGGAGAGCGAGAGGGAAGGGGAGAGGGGGGTGTAGGGGGGAGTGTGGGAGTATACCGTCATATCCTAAGAAATTAAGGTAGTTGTAGTAGGAAATAGCCACCATAAAAAGCAGATTTGACAGCAGAACGGGAAGGAAACCATGCGCAACTAGTAGAGGAGAAGCGAAGTACTGAATCACTGACATAAATAGAAATTAGCAGTTAAAAAAAATTCAGACAAAAATGCAAATAAATTACTTTTTGCCATGTCAAGAATGTTACCATAGAGCATAATGAATGCTGGAAAAAAAGAGTTGCAATGCACATCAAATGCATACAGCCTGAAACAAAGCAAAATAAAATGAAATATCAAATTTTGTTCAATGATTATATTGTGGTTTTCATTAAATATTTCAAAATGAAATGGATGGGATAATAAGAGTTTAGTCGCAGTTATTGTAGCAGCATGTAACACAACGGGAATGAAACTTAAAGAAGGATTTGCCTGTTCGTTTTTTTTTTCTTTTCCTTGAAGGATAAAACTCTCATCTCAAATATTTTATTAATTAAAGAAAATACAATGTCAGTTATAGATACACATCATGCCGATTACAAATAAAGAAAAGCAGAAATCTAATTAGAAACCTTTTTAATGTAAGGGGAATTTACATAAATAGCATACAATTCTTATGCATTTACATTTTTCACACCTAAACTTTCATATTTACGTATACAACACTTTGGTGCTTTAAATCTATGCATGAGGTGACATATTTTGCTTTAAAAAAAGATCAAATTCTTATGCATTTACATTTCTCACACCTAAACTTTCATATTTACGTATACAATACTTTGGTGCTTTAAATCTATGCACGAGATGACATATTTTACTTTAAAAAAGATCACAGGTATTATTTTTTATGTGATATTATAGATTTGATTGCTATGTGTGTAAATATGAAAGTATAAGTGTGAGACATGTAAGTACATAAGAATTGTTTGGTATGTATGTAAATGCCCCTTAAGTTAGAGAGAAGAAATCTATTATGAGAAAATATTTTCACATAAATAGGGATATATGGCTAACAAATATAATTTAATCAAGCGAATAGAAGCAGCAATGTTATTAAATGAATTTCCAAAAACAAGAGCAACACCAATAACCCACATTAAGCCTATATCTTTAACTTATATCAAAGCCAGATTTTCTAGGCATATTTAAGAGAAGATATAATGTGCGTGCTAGAACATAAAATAAAAGAGCTTGCTGTGAGAGTAATCAACCAATGAAGATGAAAATTCAATGCAATGTCAGTGGAATTGTCAATAAAAGAATACCAAATATTTTTAGAAGATAAATATTATAAAATATAAATAGGCTAAATATGAGATATGGATCTGACGGCCAACAAATTACTACCAATCTAATATAAAGTAGCCCAAATGATTAAGATAGATCTTCTGCTAAAATAAAGAATGAAAGAGAATTTTATAGAGTGGCTATTCACGCAAGGATGGCTCAAACTAGATCGTTGCAATCAAATTGCTGAATTTAAATGTATATATAATTGTTTCTTTTAGTTTTGTTTTGTGATTCGTGTCTTAGAAAACACCGTTACTATGCTATTAATTATTATTAAAAGTGGGAGTGTATAAACAGCTACTTGTAACCGTTGAAGCAGGCTTTTTGATTACTGTACACTAACTGCTGGTTGAATACCATTCTGTTACAGAATTGATACTCGTTCTTCCCATTTTTCTGCCAAATTCGTGAAAGCTACACCCCATGTGATTTTAGCATACTCGTACAAGCCAACAATTTTGTATGTTGCATGAACTGAAGCTTCACAATGATGCAAGTTGAACAAAAAATTTTTGAGTGTTTTTGTGTGAATAAAAATGTAAGAAAATGGAATTCGGTAGACTTGTTGTAAGTATAAATTTTTCTTTCATAAACAAGAAATGATGATGACGATAAAATATCAACAATGATCAAGTTCCCATAGCATTAACTTTTTGATGGGGAGCTCAAAGATTATAGCTGACCCACTGACGAAGTAACAATATATTTTTCGTGCCGAGTCTTCTTTAATGATCAATTGACTTAGTGAGGCTTACATAGAATAATTTAAAAAATTAATTTTCCACTTTATTTGAATGTGTGTACTTCATTTAATGTGGCCACATCTTACTTATTTCTAAGCATTATTTTGTTTTTACTCATTTTTTGCATCATTTCTATTTTTTTTTTGTCAAAACCAAATGTAAAAGGAAAAAAAATATTTTGTATGACGTAGGATCCATGACGAGAATTCAAGAAATCTCACGCTTATCAACATTACCAAAAACATCATGAAATCTCACTACAATATTCTTGTCTGACACCTGCGACACTAGGAATTTAAAAGTGGTGTGCTAAAACAACTATTCCTTATAAATTAATTATGAGAAATACTTTTAAGAGCTACAATATGACAATCATCTTATTTAAAGCAACAAAAAATTTGAAGCTTCCATTGCATTCCATGTATAAAAGAATTATCGAAAAAGATTATTTTAAATTAGTTAAAATACTGTGTAACATGTATAGACTAACGTAATCTTTATCACCATGAATTTCATCTTCATCGCTTAGCTTGGCTGTGACCAGCACCTTTAATAGCAATGCATTGTATTAAGGGTATTTAAAGACTTATATTGTAAATTAAAACTTAACTATTCATTTTGTATGTTAGCTACTTAAATACGTTTAATACTGTTATGATTTATATGTTCTTAAAAGTAGAAAATAAAAAATATGTTTGGTTGGGTAGTTTTACTTTTTTTTTTTAACTATATACTTTTAATAAAACGGCTAAGTCTGCAGGCGCTCCACTATTAAGTTTTGTCGCCCATGACATATAAGACGTCTTTCTTGCTCCGTCCAGCATGAAGGTGAGGAGACATTGTCATCAAGAAAAGAAATAAAGCACAAATACAAAATAACTCCACATTTGTTAACCAAGCAGCATTTCAAAGAGAACAAAACAAAAGAAACAAATAATAATAAAACAATAAAAAAGGACAAACAGGAGAGCGTACGTAATTATCGAGCATAAGAGGCAAACTCAATGCATGAGGAACTCATAAATGCAACAGAAAAAAAGGAGCAATTACATGCATACCACCCATTTCTTACGTATTTACATATCTAACACCTAAATTTTATTTTATACTTTTATACCACCCAAATCTTATGTATCAAAGAAAAATATCACTATTTTAACTTTTAAAAAGTGAAATACACATTTTCATGAATAGATAAGGTGGCATATATATAAAAAAATTGAACTTTTGGCGTTAGATATGTAACTACATAAGAATTGAGTGGTATGTTTCTATCCCAAAAGAACAAAACAAGTGACTAAAATTCAAGGAGACAAAGTAACATATTCTATAGTTACCATTCAACACGTTGCTCAACTACATGACTGTTAGGCGACTCCTCCCGCAGATAAGAATTTGTGAGAAACCTAGATGGTAAACAGCAAAATTCAGAACTGATCTGCAAAATTATTTAATATTCTTCTGAATTAGGACAACATAGAATTTAAACAACAGAATAGCAGTTGAAAGAAAACAATTCAAAGTAGTGCGCATATATATATATATATATATATATATAAAGGAAATCGATATTTGGTCCAGTGGGCACCAAATATCGATTCTCCATAAGGGTTGAAACCCCGGTATGCTAGATTCTGATTCAAAAAGTCTGCGCGAGCGCGAGCGCACACACACACACACAATTATTATATATATATATATATATCCCCTTTTCTACGAAGAAATATTGCCTCAGTACTACGTATGTAAACTTTTGTGCATACCCAATCAAATGCCGCCACGTGGAATGCCCGACCCCACCTATTAAAGCACAGAGAAATAACAGAAAAATAAATTTCTTATTATTCGCGACCCGACCCGACCCTAAACCTGAACCCGCCTAAAAAGCCTTTCCATTTTCTCCGCACTACTACGAGTTTAGGGTTTAGCCTCCGTATCGTCTTCCTCGGCGAAGCGCTACCACCTTTATTGGCGAAACCCTAAGCATTCTCTGGCATGCAAGCGAAGGTGACCATGGCATCCAGTCGTTCGTTAAAATCACGATATGCACCTAAACCAGAGTAATGAAATGCACAACAATATCACATCAATATCACACAAGTAACACACTAGTAATACAACAATAGCACAGCAATACCACATCAATATCACACAAATAACACCAGTAACACATCAAAAATACAACAATACCACATCAATACCACACAAATAACACACCATGACTTTGAATAAATAGCACAAAAATAACCCTACCTCAATGACTGCATAAAACCAAATTCAGTGGACTCACAAATGTCTCTGACACAGTTTTGATGTGTTATTCTTATATTATTCGTATATTATTCATGTGTTATTTCTGTGTTACTGGTGTGTTACTCATTTGTTATTCCCGTGTTATTCCCGTGTTATTCATGTACTATTGATATGTTACCTCTTATGATGTGTTATGCTTCTGTTTAGGAATATGTAATACACTTGTGATTGTTAATGAAGTGTATTAAATATGTTATTTATGTGTTACTGATGTGTTACATCAGCGAAATTGATGTGTTATTCCTGCATTATTGATGTGTTACTGATGTGTTATTCATGTGAAAACACCAATAACACTGGAGTAACTTATGTTGAATTATTATTATTATGTTATGGAGGTTTTATTGAGGTTTCACTGATGTGTAAACAAGAGTAACACCTCATAGTGAGCTTCATATCACATGAATATCACATCAATAACATTTAAAATGTAGCTCAACTTGGTTCTAATGATGTGTTATTATTTCTTTAATTTGCAGGATCATGAGTGCAAGGACTTTCAACTGTAGATGTCGTCCATCTGTAGTGAGAGGTGTCTTGGATGCAATTCGAGATCTGCTTTCAGAGAAGACTATTAATAATTTAAAGGAAATTATGGTGTTCAATTTCTTTGACATGCCCCCATATATCCAGGACAATGTATTGACTTTACATATTCTGAGATGTTGGGATATGAGAGGAGGGTCTTCAAAATGGGTGGAAAGGAGTTTAAATTACATGCTGACTACGTGACTTTGCTGATAGAGATGCTAAACAGAGGAGAGTCTGTTTCATGAAAGAAATGACCCCTATCAAACGCGGATGCCAGACAAATAAAGAACTAACTGACAAACTTTTTTTGCAGGAGGAGCTTCCACCTCTCTATTTGAGCAATTGTATTTGAAATTCATACTAATTAATTTATTTTTTCCTTCAGGCAATTTTCATGTGCCTGCAACGCTATCTTCTTTTGTTGTAAATGTACAAACTTTTCCGTCCTTTAATTGGTCTACTGCAATATGTGAAATAATCATTGATCAAGTGAGAACCGCCTCCATGAAATTAAGACAGAATAAGCAGATAGGCTATATTCAAAGATTTGTATTTCTTTTAACGATAAATATTTATTGTTTACATTAAAACATTATTCTTCTGAAGTTTTGTTTTGTTGTATTAACTTTTGCATACATGTTTATGGTGTAAAACATCCTCGACTATGGTTTTACGAGCACACGTCTTTGCTAACTCCTGCTGCACCTGACACTAGACCACGCATTCTGAGGTGGTCAACCAATCATGGGTTGAGTGCTGAAAAGATTCATGAAGCCTTCGAGAAACTCGATCATGTAAATCATTTAATTTTTATTGCAGCTTATTGACACCTCTGTTTAATAACTTTTTAAGAATGCCTACAACGATTTTGACAAATATATTTTTATAATAGGTTAATGAAAGATTCTTAGATTGAGAGAAGATGAAAAACAGCTGCTCACAAATCCAAATCAGGGACCACCGAGTCCTGCAAGACAACTTCCACACCATGAAACTACGGCAGAACCATCTTCACCCAGATCGTATGCCAAGGGTACAATTGTTTCCAGTGATATTACCCCAGTAGCTGGACATACGACATAGAGTGATGATTTCGGAGTACTATTTGAGATGTCGAAATCTCAGGAACAAATCAACTTAAGAAATACAAGATACAGTGATTGACATGAATAAACAGATGAATATTATGGTAGAAACATTGTCCACCCTCATAGATTTGGTACAGAGATTATTTGAAACTAAGGCTGACAAGGTTGTTGAGAGAACAATGTCTGATACAAGTCAAACTCAACACTAAAGGAAGAAGACCAGCAGCAGTGGAAGGAAGAGGACAGTGGACCCCCCAGTATCTCAATATCAGTTCAAAAGAAGACGTAGAAAAAACGATAATGTGGATGTTGTTGATCGTGTATATACAGATGTTCCCGGATAGGAACAAGAGGCCAAAGAAACAATAAGACAAGCACAAAACACAGATTTTTTGTTGTCAATTACAACCTATGTGGATGTTGTTGATCCTACAAAGGATATTGTGCATGTTGTTGATCCTGTACATACAGATGTTCCCGGACAGACCCAAGACGCCGAAGAAACAATTAGAGAAGTACAAGGCGCAGATTTGGGGAGGGGATGAGACAATCCATGAAGACCCCAAAGAAGTCGAACGAGCAATAAAGGGTGTTCTCAAATCTCTGTCTCATTCGATGAGTAAGTCATTCTAATTTGTACTATATGATATACCTTCCTGCTTTATCTTTTCTAACAATATTTTTTTAGACGCGTCTTGTGACATTCGATGTAAATACTGATTAAAAAAAGGATGATTTCCAAGAGGCCCAAGTTTCAGATGAAAATGTACGGACCGAATTCAATTTAGATGAAGAAAACTTAGATCCGACTGGTTTTGAGCAAATCTCGAGTCAAAGCCACAGTTCTACTGCAGACGAATATGCTATAATTATAATAAAAAAAATTATATCTATGTACTTTGAAGCATATATTATATGTTCTTATTTTATGTGTTATCCATGATTGTTTTCTTTTGCAGCTCCGTCATGTGACTTCAAATCTTGAGTATCCTGGTAGATCATTGATACCAATTGAAATGTAGAAAGAAATAGACCAGTGCCTAGTAAGATACACTGGACGGTAAGTAAATGTCCACTGTTTTAATATTATGCAGTTGTGTTGTATTTAATTAACAGAAACTCTCTTTCTTATCAATGCAGTGACGTTATAATTAACAGATATCATATTTTGATTTATCAATCGGCCCTCGAAGATATACTATTAAATAAGTGGCTTGCAGATGAACATGTTGATCTATTTGCTACCTTGCTGCGCGAAAGAACCTTAAGAAGACCAGAGTTGTGCCGGCCTAACCTGTATGTTTCGCCAATGTATGGGGTATGTTGAATAATTTAAATTTATGCATAAAAGTTTAAGTCATATATTCCATGCACATTTAAAGTAATAATTTTATGCAGATGCATAAGACATATGGTAGCAAACCCTACGTGAAACATATCACCAACGAAGCCGTTAAAGATGTAAAAACCATTTTCTTTCCAATCATTCATAATCAGCATTGGTTTTATTGGCTCTAGATCTCAAACTGAGAAAATGGAGAATGTACGACTCACTACCTAACCAGATGCATAAGGCTGGCGCTGCGGAAGTTGTAAGTATATTCAACTCAATCAAAAGTAACACAATAGCACTCGAAGAGTAACACCATACTGCTTTAACTATGCAGGTCAATATGTTTGCTAGAGATGTCGCCGATGTATTTACAGCCAAAATCCATAAATTATCTCTATCGATTACAAAGCATGTACCCTCACAAAGGAATAGTTTTGATTGCGACATGTTCGCCTGCAGGTACATGGAAACATTAGTGCAGGCCGAAGAAGTCGACTGGAGTGCGCATATAGATTGGCAGGATGATATAAAACGATTTAGAGCTGAATTTGTATATGATATTTGCATATTCTCGAGGACTTCAAAGTAAATTTGTATATTTGTACTTTGTATATTTGTATAGGTCATCTATGAAGGAAATTGTTCAGATCTTAGAGAATGTTGTTGAGGTGAATGTTCCTTCATAATATGATGTTCATAGAAAGCTTAAATTTTATTTTAATTTTCACATTTTAGAGTTAGTTTGTTGTACTTCCTATGATTTATGTTTCACTTTCTACTGACAATGATGTTTAATGATTTCAATACTTTGTATATTTGTATAGTTTTGGAATGATGCTTTTTGAAATAATATAAGGTAGGAGAAACATAAATCATGAATTTATGTTTGTATTTTTTCCAGAATGGACAGCAACTAAAATATCAGAAGGGGTATTCAAGATATTTTAAATAAATAATAAAAAATTTCTTATCATGGATAAATTGTCCTTTAAAATTTAATTCACTGAAAGATAAAAAATTTTGCATCAAAATTTAACTAAATCACATCGCGGAATAAACCGGCGAACAACGGAGTAACATTGATTTAATCGGCGGTAACACGCGGAATATTAGCTGCGAAACACAGCACACTATACGGAGTAACGCAGAGTAACGACGATTAAATCGGCGGTAACAAGAGGAATATTCCCTTGGCACAGCGGAGTAACGCAGAGTAACACGCTTGGTATAGCGGTAACGTGTTACTCACGTGTTATTCAGCGTGTTACTCACGTGTATCTACGGGTTACTTATGTGTTATTCAGCATGTTACTCACGTGTTATTCAGCGTATTAATCACGTGTTATCTACATATTATTCACGTGTTATCTACGTGTTACTTATGTGTTATTCAGCGTGTTACGTAGGTAGGCGCGAAATATTTTTATGTTGGCGGGAATTTTTCAGGTTTAAGGTCGGGCCGGGTCGCGAATAATAAGAAATTTATTTTTCTATGCTTTAATAGGTGGGGTCGGGCTTTCCGTATTTTTCTGTGCTTTAATAGGTGGGGTCGGGCTTTCCGTATTTGATTGGGTACGCACGTAGGTTTACATGCGTAGTACTGAGGCAATATTTCTTTATTTTCTACATTATCCACTAGATACACTGTCACATCAATCTCTATCCCTCTCATTAGTCTTAAAATAAAGTTTTTAGAATATTCTCCAAAAACTTAATAGGTTTCGTCAGAGGGAACTGAAGCAGATTGATAACGCAACATATTTACCAAAGTTTATGCAAAATTCTCAAGTTATTACATATATTATATGAGAAAGGAGGCTTTGAAATGGGATACAAATTCATAGCCTTCTAATTAAAACCTTCTTGAATTAGCTAAAAAAAATAAACAAAGGATTGAATGCTGCAAAAAAAAATTCAAGAAAGCAGAGGTTTGCAACAATCGTGAGTTAAGCTCACTGGGAAGGCGACGAAGGATAGCGTCTTACCGAGACCCGCAATTCCATCTTTCACCTCCTCCCACTCCGTCTTCACATACAGTCAAAATCAAAGCTAGTTGGGAAGGCTTCGACAGGCTCACAACATATCAAACTCATTCGTGAACAAATCTCACGATACAATCGAGGGGATTACGATGAGCTAGGTGGGAAACGCCGCTCTTCAGTTGTAATTCATAGGGAACAGAAGCTAGCAGTAGTAACCAGAAGAATTTATGCGACATCAGTGCACTATCGCTACATTAGGCGGATTGAGAGCTGTGAGATCGACAAACAAACCAGGAATGGACTCGAACAACAACACTTGGAAGAAATGCACAACATTTGGATAGCTTGAATAAATGGAAGCAAAGCAGGATCAAAGTTGACAGAGATGGAAGAGACATATGATACAGAATTGACAGAGATTTTGGTGATCGATCAACTACGTGATACGGAGTTGACAGATATTCTGGTAATTGATAAGTTACAGGATGAGCTATTTGGGACTGTGATATTCTCAAAGACTGACTGGAAATCAAGACAGAATCTGATTCGGAAAAGGCCAAACGATGTGCACAAGATGATAATCTGAATTACTAAGGGTCAATAAGAATTTCTGATTTAATTGACATGATTGTCAGATGACGACAAACCGTGTGAATCATACAACTAGATTCAACAGTATTTTTTCCCACCTTGAGGACAATGTCTCTTTTTGGGAGGGGAGTAATGTTATAATAGCACGTAAAGACAAATTTGTCTTTATTAGCCTACATGCAATTTAGTCTTGTGCAATTTATTATTGTTTAGTATAAATAGGGTTAGTATATTACATATTAGAGCATGCATGAGAATTGTTGTCTTGGAATCTTAAGGTTAGGGTTTGGGAAAGATTTTCTATCTCTCGAATTGTAGGAATTGGGAGAGACTGCCTACCTCTCGAATTGTTGGTGTTTATCCTTGTATTCGTGTTGTTTTGGATTATTGAAGAAAAATATTTACTTTGACCTAATTTCTGTGAAAAAAAGTCTCAAATCATATATCACATACTAGCAAGTTTTTGACAACCAAGAAGATTTGAATAAAAATTTAGTAAGGCAAGGGGAAGACATCATTAATGCACAAAAATGAAAAACAAATGATTTTACAATAATTGATTGGATCGCATCTTATAATGTGGATATTGGACAGCTTCACATTTACCACTGACATATACATCAATGATTAAAAAGAAAAATGAAAATTTGCATACATATCACCCAATTCTTATGTAATTATATATCTAACATCTGAACTCTAATTTAAACACTGATATATATGTCTCTTCCATCTAAACTCCAAAATCTCTGTCAATTTTATATCATATATCTCTTACATTTCTGTCAACTTTGATTCTACTTGCTTCCATTTATTCAAGCTATCCAAATGTTGCGCTATTTCTTCCAAGTGTTGTCGTTTGAGTTCACTCCTAGTTTCTTTGTCGATCTCACAGCTCTCAATATGCCTAACGTAGTGATGGTGCACTGATGTCGCATAAATTATTCTGGTTGCTACTGCTAGCGTCCGTTCCCGACGCCGTCATTCAATTCTATTGCAGTTGAAGATGATTCTGTGTGAAACTCCATGATTTTCTTCATCATTTTTTCTAGGACAGTAAATCTTCTCTCGAACCACCCCTCCATGGTCAAGAAACAATCATCTATTTAATATTTAATTTTACTCACTTTTTCTCAACGTTCTTCTCAAGAGCTTTTACTTTATGGATTGTAATTATTCCTAAGACCATTTTGATGAAAGAGGTGTGTAGGATTAGCGAGTTTGATTTTGTATAGGTGCTATAAAATTTATTACGGCAATCCCTTGTAGTTATTATTTATTTTATTCCCTGATTTTGTATTTCATATTTGTTTTATTTTGTATTCACTCAATTCTTAAAAGGTATTTTACTATTAAGAATTAAAGTGGTGGCATATTTTATGTGATATGAAAGACTTGGGTGGTATAAATGTAAAAAGTAAAAATTAGGTAAATATGAAGTATTTGGGTGGTATAAATGGTGGTATGCCCCACAAAAAACATCCAAGTGCAAGTCATAAGTAGTCAAATGAGATGCAAACAAGAACCATCAATATTCCCATTCACCCAATTTGGTCTAAAAGAGTTTAGCATATTAAGATATGATTTCAATGGTTTTAAGCATGATCCCAGCTTTGTATTCATAGCATAAAAAAGATATTCCACCAAAGAATGGCTATTCTTTTGGCATAATTGTTAATTATTAAGAGTTAAATTTCAAAATGATCTGCCGACTATTAGTGTGTAGCTGATCTAATCCTAGTGTAAAACATTTCTTAAATTTAACCCCTCCACCTACAACAACAACAACAAAAACAAGTCTTTATCCCACTAAGTGGGGTCGGTAATAGAATCTTGTTACTCCATTGTATCCTATTGAGTGTCATATTTTCATTTAATTCTAATAAATTAAGATCATTTTTTACACAACATGCCCAAATATTTTTAGGTCTACCTTTACCTTCTTAACATAAGTCAAATCTAAAACATCTACTCTCCTAATTGGATCATTAGATGGTCAACGTTTAAAACATCTACTCTCCTAATTTCTCCTAATTGGATCATTAGATGGTCAACGTTTAATGTGACCAAACCATCTAAGACGACTCTCTATAATCTTGTCTGTCACTGGAGCTACACCAACCCTTTCACAGATATATTCGTTTCGTGTTTTGTTTTTAAGCGTAAAGCCACTCATCCACTTAAGCATTCTCATCTTAGCAACACTCAACTTAGTTTTATGCTTCTCTTTTATAGGCCAACATTCTGTACCATAAAGCATTGTAGCTCTCGCCATCATCGTATAAAGTTTTCCTTTTAAGTCTAAGCGGTACTTTTCTATCACACAATAGGCCTGATGCATTCCACTTCAACCATCCAACTTGAATTCTACTAATAGCATCCCCTTCTACTATATCACCATCACTTTGAACAATTGAACAATAGACCCTAGATAAATAGACCCTAGATATCTAAAGCGTTCACCCCTTTTAATGATTTGATCACATATTGTTACAACTCTGCCACTAGATCCACTACTAAAATTACATTCCTTGAATTCAGTTTTAGATCTACTCAAATAATAATCCCTCAAGTTACAAATTGATAAAAAATGATTACAAACGGACTAGATTAGAAACAATTTTGTACAATCAAAGGAAAAAAAAAAGGATTATATTTATGTCAAAATTTCTACATGAGAGATCATTTTTTTATCAAATTTATATGATCAAGAGGCTAAATTGAAGTAACGTGATACTAACTATTAATTTTATACTAAACTGGCCACATGCAAATAGTCAATAGACAATTTTGAGATCTAATCTTAGTTATTAACTTTCAATAAAATTTTGATCAAATCAACACTACCACTGCAACGCAGACTTAACAACAACAACAACAACAACAAAGCCTTAATCCCACTACGTGAGGTCGGCTACATGAATCCTTTTTCTCCATTGCATCATATTTTCATTTAGTTCTAGTAAATTAAGATCATTTTTAATACAATAAGCCCAAGTCTTCCTAGATCTACCTCTGTCTTTCTTAACACAAGTTGAATCTAAAACATCTACTCTCCTAATAGGAGAATAAATCCTGAAAGATTGTTCATGTTGCCTCCTTAGCAAATTGACAACGACAGAAATAGCAAATATTTATATGATTTCTTACCAACAAGAAGTCGCCAAAACTATGCCAGAAAATAAGAAATGAAAAAGAAGCACTGAAATAACTGTGAAGAAAGCATGTCCAAGACTTTCATCATACCTACAAAACAAAAGATACATTAAATTAGGCAAATAAATAGAATACATGGGTCTATTTACAAAATTTGTAAAACATAATATAACCTCTCCTAAGAATACCAAAAATTTGGACAGGCCTGCTTATAAGAAACTTACGCGGCACAATAAGCCGAGGTAGCAACAATCATAAACAAAGAGAGAATCACCATGAAGGCCGGATCATCTCGTGCCCACTGGTTTTTTGTTTCTGTGTAAAGAAGTGGAAATTAGTACAAAATCCGCCATTGTTATTAAGCCAGAGCAATAAGACTGGTCTCAAAATTTGAAGCTTCCCAAGGGCATAAAGCTCCTCAATAAAACATCACTAAATATTTAATAATAGATTTGCCTGTATGGAATATGAAAACATAGATATGTTTGCTAGCTTAACTACCTAGTTAAAGTTCATTTGTTCAATTGATCTAGACGGAAATTCTACTAGTTAGAAAAACTTTAAAACATTTAAACTCAAGTCCTCAATACTTTATAAGGCTTCTTGACATAGATCTACAGTTACTAGATGGTGCGTGAGGATCAATAGAGGGGTTGGGGCACGATGAAAGAAGAGAGAAACAATCTGAGAAAAACTGTTCGGATAAAAGGAAAGGGACGGTTGAGGCTGTCTTTGTGGAAAAACAGCAAGGAGGGGCAAGGCTGGCGACTAGGGCAGCGATTATGGAAGCCGGAAAGTTCCATGACCTATTCTATTGAAGATAAAGCCTCATCACTTGAAGGAGAAAAGGCTACAACACTTCAAATAGGAGAACATAGAGAAAATAGGCTTCAAATTACATTAATTAAAGCACCAAAATGTCAAAACCAGATTCTAAACATACTTATAAGTCTAAAGCGAAATAACCCTATTAAAAGCCCTAATTAAGGAATTACAACCCTAAGAGGATCAGCCCAGCCTTAGGTGTTGGGAAGCTGAGCCGGCTATGGAAAATCCGGTTTGGCCCCTTTTACGTGCATCTAGGATGGATGCGGGGGACATCCACAACATTCTCCCGGGTTGGAGGGGCTCTGATTTTTTTATTGGAAACACTTGGATCCTCATAGTACGACAACAAATTAATGATGTTGAAGATAACATAAATGTTGTAGCTCCTATCAAATCAAACTTATTTGCATTGTCATTAACAAATCAATCTTATATGCATTGTCATTGATCTTCTTAATAATCTTAAATAGGGAATCCGCTCTAGGTCAAAACTTATCAAATGAACCTACATAAAAAAATTCCCTCAATCTAATCCACACAAAATCTTTTTCCTTGAATACAATAACCTTTATGGGTTTATTTGTATGCCTCTGTACTTTGTGTTCTACTTGGCAATTTATTTCCTTAAATATCATGTATGTTAGCGCTGGAGACCGATTTCGCGCTTGCTCCCGCCTGCCAACTCATGCTCCTGCTCTTCCGATCGCGAAAGGTCGCGATCTCTCGTTCGCGCCTCCCTCCTCTTCAGTCGCGAAACTATTCCCGCCTTCCTTGTTTCCGCGAAGTGAAGCAACTCTTCGCTTGCTTTAAGTTACAAACAGACGGATGGTTGTTGTGTGTGTGGTTTGAAGGAAAGGAAAAGAGGATGGTTCTCATTCAGATTAAGCACAACCCTTTTTGTGTTCTTCTTCGGACTTCCTCGGGACAGTGGAAGGGCTTCCTTGGTATAAAGAAAACAGAGGAAGAGAAGTACAAGGTGCAGCTCCTTGCGGTGAAGGAAGAGAAGAAGAAAGAAGAAGAGAAAGAAGAAGAGGATTGTTCTCCCTTGGTTTCTTCTTGGTGGTTTGTGGCAGAAGAGAAATTGTGTTTATTTCTCCTGTAAGTTTATCTTCTTTGATGTATCTTGGTGTAGAATTTCTTCGGTGTATCTCGGTGTAGATAAAGAAGAAAAGACAGAAAAGAAGAGAGATAGCAATGAAGTGAAAGATTCCTCTTGTAAGTTGAAACGATCGACTAGTGTAAATTCCTCAAGTAGTAAAATCATCTGCAACTCCGTGGATGTAGGCAATTTGTCGAACCACGTAAATCTGTGTGTTCCGATGTGTTACTGTTTTCTGGTGCGAATTTTATCGTTATATTTTTTCACTTCATCGTTGAGGATCGTTCATCTATTTTACAAATGGTATATCTCACAACAACTGATATCAGAAATTTGTTCGGATCTGAGGAATAATGATGGTTGCATAATAAGTGAAAGTTACAGGGACCGAGAAATTTGATGACACATATGTTGGTTATTGGAGAATTCATATAGAGGACTACCTCTATGGAAAGAAACATCATTTTCCGTTATTGAGGAACAGACCTGAAAGGATGGATGAGGTTGAATGAAATTTGTTGGATTGACAAGTTCTGTTTGGATCGACAAGTTCTGTGGGTTATTCGATTGACTCTATCGAGGTCTGTTGCACACAACGTCGTCAAGGAGATGACGATTGCAGATCTCATGACAGCCTTATTAGGTATGTAAGAAAAGTCATCGACAAATAACAAGGTGTACTTGATGAAAAAATTATTCAATTTAAAGATGACGGAAGGTGTTTCTGTTGCTCAACACCTGAATGATTTCAATACTATCACAAATTAATTGTCTTCTGTTGAAATTGATTTTGATGATGAGATACGTGCGCTGATATTGTTGACATCATTGTTAAATAGCTGGGAAGCTATGAGAATGACAATTAGCAGTTCTGCAAATAAATCTAAACTGAAATGTGATGATATTCGTAATTTGATTTTGGCCGATGAGGTGCGCAAGAAAAATTCTGGCAAGATCACAGGTTTGAATTCGACGCTGAATGTTGATTTCAGAGGGAGATGGCATGACAGAAACTCAAATAGAGGAAGATCAAAATCAAAGTCTAGTCAGCAGACAAGCTGCTGGAATTGCCAAACTGCTGGAATTGTGGCAAGGCTGACCACATAAAGAGAAACTGCAAGAATCTCAAAAATATGGAGAATGGAGAATAATAGCGTAAATGTGGTATCTGAAGAAGTACATAATGCACTATTGCTGGCAGTTCATAGTTCTATTGATGATGGAAGTGAAGAGGAGAGTGGGTCTGGGGCACCCATTCCTATTGTTTCATAGACTGATGGTGGAGAACCACAATGCTATGAAGAAATTTTGCAAGAAGAAAGTTCGAATAAATGGGAGCTGACAGAACTTCCACCATGGAAGAAGGCATAACACAACAAGTGGGTGTATCAGGTGAAGACTGAATTTAATAGTAGTAAGAGATACAAGGCTAGACTTGTTGAAAAATGCTTTCAACATATGCAGGATATTGCCCATGTAGTGGGAGTTGTAAGCAGAGACAAGAGTAATCTAGGAAATAGCTTGGAGGTGCAAAACTATGTTGACACTGCTAATATGTTGACTGGGAGTGTTACTCTTGAAAAACTGAAGTTAAGACAGATACTTTAAATTGCAGAAGTGGAGGATTCATGTTTGAAGAAAATGGAGACACTGTCAGTGAATGATATCAGTTCAAGAAAGAAGACGTTGTAGTAAGACTGTCAAAACGGCTCGTTGTTCGCAAACAACTCGTGTTCGGCTCGTTAAGAAGCTCGTGTTCGGCTCGTTAATTTTGTTCGATAAGTTAAGGAGCCGAACACGAACTAAGATGTGTTCGTTCGTGTTCGGCTTGTTTTGGCTCGAAATACAACTCATCAAGTTTATATATATATATATATACAAAGATTTATAATCAATTAAAATATTGATTAAGAAAATAAAATAAAAATTATTAAATTAGATTCAAATGATGTTTTAATATAAATAATAATTTTTAAATCTTGTTCAAACCCTTATTGTCTTATGTCTTATGACTACATGATTAGGGATTTTAAAAAGACTCTTTGTTCGTGAACAGCTCGTGTTCGGCTCGTTAAACAAACGAGCCGAACACGAACACACTTTTTGAGCTCGAAATATAAACGAGCCGAACACGAGCGAGCTCGTTTACACCCCTACGTTGTAGCATATGTATCGTTCTCCAAGTGGGAGATTGTTGGCACTGGAGACCGATTTCGCGCTCGCTCCCGCCTCCTATGTTTCGCGAGGCGCCACCTCCCTCTCTTCCAATCGTAAAATGTTGTGATCTCTCGTGCGCGCCTCCCGCCTCTTCAGTCGCGAAACTATTCCCGCCTTCCTTGTTTCCACGAAGCGAAGCATCTCTTCGCTTGCTTTAAGTTACGAACAGACAGACGGTTGGTGTGTGTGTGTGATTCGAAGGAAAGGAAGAAGATGACGGTTCTCCTTCAGATTAAGCACAGCCCTTTTTGTGTTCTTCGGACTTCCACGGGACAGTGAAAGGGCTTCCTTGGGATAGTGGAAATAGAGGAAGAGAAGTGCAAGGTTCAATTCCTTGTGGTAAACGAAGAAGAAAGAAGAAGAAGATTGTTCTCCATTGGCTTCTTCTTGGTGGCTTATGGCAAAAGAGAAATTAAGTTTATTTCTCTTGTAAGTTTATCTTCTTCAGTGTATCTCGGTGTAGAATTTCTTCGGTATATCTCGGTGTAGAGAGAGAAGAAAAAAGAGATAAGAAGAGAGTGAAAACAAAGTGAGAGATTCCTCTTGTAAGTTGAGATGATCAACTGGTGTAAATTCCTCAAGTAATATCCTCGACAACGCCGTAGACATAGGCAATTTGCCGAACCACGTAAATTTGTGTGTTCCGTTGTGTTACAGTTTTCTGGTGTGAATTTTCTCATTTTATTTTTTCACTTCATCGTTGAAGGTCGTTCTTCTATTTTATTTTTAAATATATACCACAATAATATAAAATCCAAATCTCTCTAACTCTGGCCTTTACATCTGTAATAAGCTCATTAGCTAGAAACTCCAATGGTGTAAGAGAGTTTCACCCGTATACAATCTCAAAGAGATTGTATTGTAAGTTATGAACTGAATAGTGAACTATTATAAGTAGATTTAAATTGCAAAAGAATCAAATCCTACTGCTTAACATTTTTGCCAGCAAAACATCTAAGAAAATTTATCAAAGTGCAATTCAACAATTCTATCTACCCATCAATCATTCTTGAACTGAATAGGAGCTTTGTACCTAATTTATCACATAAAATATTCCAAAAGTGTCTCAAGAACTTCACATCCCTATTTGCATTAATGGTCATGGGCAAGCCATGAAAATAGATTATCTACCTATTTATAAGTCTGCAATGTATGAAGCATCAATCAACTT